TGCTGTCAGCTAGATAGTACCCCTTGTTGTATTGGTGCTCATTGATCTCGAAGTTCACCGGAGGAGAATGGCCCTCAACGAGCTTGGCAAAAACAGGAGAGCACTGCAACACGTTGATGTCATTATGAGTTCCTGGCATACCAAAGAAGGAGTGCCAAATTCAGAGGTCCTGTGTGGCTACCGCCTCAAGGACCACACTGCAACCGCCTTTGGCGCCTTTGTACATCCCCTGCCAACCAAGTGGGCAATTCTTCCATTTCCAATGCATGCAGTCGATGCTTCCAAGCATCCCAGGAAATCCTCTTGCTGCATTCTGGGCTAGGATCCGAGCAGTGTCTTCCGCATTGGGTGTTCTCAAGTATTGTGGCCCAAACACTGCCACCACTGCCCGACAGAACTTGTAGAAACACTCTATGCTGGTGGACTCGGTCATGCGCCCATAGTCGTCGAGTGAATCACTGGGAGCTCCATATGCAAGCATCCTCATCGCTATCGTGCACTTCTGGATGGAGGTGAATTCAAGAACGCCAGTGCAATCCATCTTGCACTTGAAGTAGTTGTCGAACTCCCGGATGGAATTCACAATCCTGAGGAAGAGCTTTCGGCTCATCCGATAACGGCGCCGAAATGTTCTCTCGCCATGAAGTGGAGCATCGGCGAAGTAGTCGGAGTAGAGCATGCAGCAGCCTTGGAGACGATGCCGGTTCTTTGCTTTCATCCGCCTCGGCGCCGAGCCACCTCGCTGCGGCTTTTCATTGCTCGCTAGCAGCTGGGCGAGGGCGGCGAACACCATGAGATGCTCTTCTTCCTGGACGTCGGCCGCGGCTTCCTCCTCCAGCAGCGCGGCGAGCTCTTCCTCCTCATCCGAGTCCATCGCCGAGGCAGGCAAAACGCCGAACACCTTGCGCTCGGTGGGCGTGTACCCGCCGTTAAACCGCGCCTCCGTGACCGGAAACGCCCAGCTGCTGTGGGAGGGGCTGCCGCGGTGAAGCGCTGCTATTTTCCGGCGGGGAATGACTATCTAGCGGAGTAGGGTGGCGGCCGTCGCCGGAATATAGTTAGTGGTGGCCGAAGGCGCGGGGGGTGCGAGGCGAGCCGGGGGAAGAAAACCTTGACTTTTCCCCTGTCGGTGTGGGCCAGGCGTGCTTTTCCCTAGCGTCGGAGCCCCAACTGCTCCCCAGCGTGCCAAGTTCGGCCTGTGACCGCCGGGCGGAAAAAAGGTTCGAATCGACGATTTTCGGCGTCCTGAGGGCGCGACTGGACTGTTTTTTCGACGCCGATACCAAAAAAGTGGCCTGAGAGGCCCTGTTGAAGGCGCGGCTGGAGATGCCCTGACCCATCGACGCGGCAAGGTGACCGAGGGGCGAAAACCAAACCAAACATCTGTGGGACCCTGAAAATCCAACAAAACGACGTCTTTTCCGGTGATCAGGTGTCCCGGTCAGCGCCTACGTGCGTCGTATATCGGCCATGAGTGCTCCGGAGGACGTCACTTTCGATCGTCCCCGATAATAGAAGAAGCGAAGGAATGAAATTACCGCAGGAGGCCACGTAACATCAACGATGACACCGCCAGATTCCTAGCAGCTTCCTCGTCGATTTTTTACAGTTTCCTTTGAAGGATCGCCATCAGCCCGTGGTACCGGACGAATTCCGGGGCCCCTGTCATCTTGTCTCGTCTCATCCTGGCCTGAAATTCTTCTATGTTTGGCGATCACACAAGCAGGGATTGTTTGATTCGTAGGATTTTCCAAATGCAGGAATAGAAAAACGTGGAATTGGATTGGCATGTCAACTTGAATCCTATATGATTGTATGAGTGTTTGATTGTGCATAAGAAAAACATAGAATTCTTTCAAAGAGGTTTGAGTGGATGAAAAATTTCCTATAAAATCTAGTGCAAAGAATCCTATAAAAAATTCTTACGATTTACAATCCTACGAATCAAACAATCCACATAGAAAACCTTCAAAATTCCTTTAAGAATCCTTTGAATCAAAGAAGCCCGCAGCTGGTTGACGTTTCTTTGTTCCATCATCAGTTGTTTGCTTCCGCTGTTCCATTCCTTGCTTTTCAAAAGATTGTTCGGGTGTGTGGCCCCCTCGCTCGCTACGGGGTGAGATGCCGACGGTGGGATCGGCCGATGCGTGGCGGCGGACTCATGCAATGCATGTGTGCGTGCGTGCGTCGACGTCGGCCAGCCGCGGTGCGTGCTGATGGGCGCGTGTCATGTCTGTCCAGCCCCGCACACTTTGCTGGTTCGCTCTTCAGACGCAACCGAGCGAGCTAAACTGGAGATGGTGCTGGCAATTAAACTTGGGCATGATAGCAACACAAGTGGTACGCTATCAAAAACTAGTAGAATGCCTGTGCATTGCTACGGGCTACAATGTATATTATTATTTTTAAAAAGATACAATGCATATATATGAATGAAACAAATGATTAAGATTGTCGCCACGATCGAAGCTAATTTTTTCCTCATATGTCTGGGCATGTATGCACACCCAGCTGGCTCCCCGAAGTTCAATTGGTATTGTCCGGCTGCTCCAAATTTAGACTATGTGTGGGAAAGAAATGTGGTTGTACGGACTATCCATCATGTTATTTTCAACACATGGACCCAACACAAAAACTCCACCCCACGAGGCACGCTTCCCTTTTTCTGCCTGTCGGACCCTCCCCTTCCCTCGATTTCTCACCATAGCGGGACATTTTTCGTTGGAGCCCTCTCCTTTCAAACCGGATGACTCCCACCACACCTTCGCCATGGTGCCCTCTCTTCTTCACACCGTACTTCCCCACGGACCGCCAAGGAGAAGTTCCCCGCCAGCTGCCCTGCTCTCTACCCTCATCCCCACCCCACATGTTCATGTCGATTCACCACCGCAATCAAAAGGAGGAGGCATGTGTCGTCAATGACGCCCCCAGCCAATAAGGCAGATAAAATGTCTCCTAGTTAAATGCCGTGCATTACCATGAAAAACATATATGATATATGTTGTTGGGCATTCCAAGAGCTATAAAATACTTAGCTCATTTATACATAACCTTTTGGTCTATCCTCTCAAATTGACTTGTTAAGTTATGTGATATTAATTTCATCACATAAATAGCCGCTCCTTTCTTTTTAATTGAAGATGATAAATAAGAAAAATATAGCAACTTCTCTAACTCTCTTTTCGCACAGCCAATCGTGTCATGCTCTCCCACACGGCTAGCCGGTCGTTGGGGCGTTTTCCACATCTCATACCCCTCCCCCAGCTATCAAAAAGTGTTGTCGACATCTGAATATCTTGCTTCACGCAAAACTTTAGAGATGTCGTGTTGAATCTAACACATGTCTGAGCAAGAAAAACTATTTAGAAACACGTTCATACTAAGGATAATATAATACTCTCTCTATCGGGAATTACTTGTCAGATAAATGGATATATCTAGACATATTTTAGTTCTAAATACATCCATTTTTATTCATTTTTGCGACAAGTAATTCCAGACAGAGGGAGTACATGATTATGTCTACATCCTCTAGCAGAATGCTCGTGCATTTTCGCATAACAATACAAGAAAAATGCATTCAATGAAGTGTTTCATCTTAAGTCTTAATAGGTATAATGCAATGGAGGGTTATCTTTATGAATAGTATGTAATCTGATTTAGCAATGTCTGTCACTTTGGAACCTGTTAAGAAATCTCAGAATAGCCATTTCATTTTTATTTATGTTTTCCCTGTCAAAAGGTTAGCACCTTCTTATGGTGAAATTCCTTTGCATCCACCGGATTCCAAAACATAATTAGCTAAGGAATAATAAGATAGTAGAAGCAAACACACTTCAAAAATAAATTAGCGAACATACATTTGATCAAGTCAAGGGCGCATGGTTACTTCGATCGGTGCAAGCCTCACAATAAGTTGAGAAACTGAACGTTTAAAATTGACAAAGTACTATAGAAACTGAACATTTAAAATTGACAAAATCAGGAAACGTGAGAGCAAGAAAGTCACACATAATAAAATTACCTCATAGCTCCAAGCATATATAGTACTGCTAGGAAATTCCCTTATTAGTTTTCTTTGTATAATTAACCTGCTAATCTAATAAAACGCTAGATGCAGTTGTGTCTCAGAACAATCTCTCGAAGGTTAGTACTGAACCAAATTTCTCCACAAAGTAGCACATAGTCCATGAGAAAAGAAAAGAAAAATATTTCATATAACTAACTGAACAAAGAGACACTGCAGTTCCATGAAGGAGCACACATTCCGTAATATAATTCATAGCAGTACAGATATGTTCCTGTGAATTGCATCAAGAAAGTGGAGAAAAGTAGTACAGCTTCCATGGTTCCATTACTGGCGACAAGGCAGTGGAGGAAAAAATAGCATTTCGGCCCAAAAGGTTGCATGCTTCCAGGGTGGAAAGGAGTTTTGCAGCACCGCTGAAGGTTAAGGCAATGTGAAGCTTCAACAACGAAGTAATATATTCAGATATGAGTAGTTCAAGTTTGTTTAGAAAATCATATACGTCAACAGAGATAAAACCACAATACCAGATAATTGGTGTAATTTTATGACATGGCTCTCAAGTATTTGCAACTATAAGATCCAGAGGCGGACATTAAAAATGTCAAAATACCTCAAGGAGACCGTATAGAATAGTTTTTCTGTATTCCTTCTCCAGCAACTGATTTACTTCATCTGTCAAACGTTCATGTTTGACTGATTCAGTTGGAGCATTCTCAATAGTAGCACTTCCTTCAGGATTATACATAGAGATGTCCCATCAATTCTGATGATTCGATGTACTGGATGTAATGCTTTATTTTTCCTGCAATTATTTCAGATTGTGTACCACATACTTCTAGGTATCCTAAATGAATAAGACGGTTAGAATTCACAAGAGTTGTATAAGAACTTCTACAGTCAATGTCTCGTAAGTTACTCATAGTACTGACTATACCTTATAGGATGCACGAACGATGGACAATAGTAACTTTTAGAGACCAGACATGTTGAAGTTGATCTTGATGGCTTGCACTGAAATTGCTGTCTCAAATGTTACCATCCATAAAAGATGCAGAAAATGTCCAACAAAAATAAAATACATCTCTCTTGCAGCAGATATGATTACTCTAGTCTCCACTCCAACAAAAAGTGTTGTATTCTTCAATTGCAGGCCCTCAAAATTTGGCAACTCGGTAGAAAATTCTGCAAAATGAGCTCCATCTCCAATAGTTTGTGAGGATGAAAAGAATATATTATATCTCTCATGCTGATAACATATGTGCAAGAACGGTTATTACAAAACTTCCAGCACGCATAAGCAGTCCATCTTATAAAGGTTATCACTAAATTGCAGCCACAAATTACTTAGAATTTATTCCTTGGAACAGATCTTTCAACAAACAGCAAGCATCATACACATAACAAAAGCACTGCTCTTAACAGAATGAACTCGCTAAAGTGAATGCAAGCATGCTTTTAGTGCTTAGTCTATAACAGGCTGGTAGTTCCTCCTTGTTCCCATGCTGTTCATCATCCCCTGTTGTTCATCATTCCCTGTTAAAGAGGCGACATCATCTCGATATAAAATCATCTCGATTGGCTCAAGGGAATAGATAGCAAACACACCTCCTTTAATCGGATTTTGTTGATGTGCAGCAGCGAGTGGTGGTTTATGATCTCCCTCGCCACATTCTCATCAATCCGCAAACACACGAGGACACCCAAAAGTTTGCCCCGTTACTATATACGCAGCAGGGGAATCCCGACGGGATAAGAAAAACTCGACGGAGCAGCCCATGCTGGAACGAATAGATCACAGGGGAGCCCTAATTACCTTGAAGCCCCATGGGATGTACTTCATGGCGACGACCTCCTCAGTCTCCTTGTTCCACATCATCCGCGTGACGTTGACATTGCCGTCGCCGATGTCCTTGAGCACCTCGTACCTCTCCATGGATCCCGGCCTGCGCCGAGCTGCTGCTGAAGGCACCGGCGCTCCTCTCCTTGCGTTGGGGCAAGGCCTGCACCTTGACCTTGCAGATCAACTCCTCCAAGTCCGCGCTCGTGGGATCCCGTGGACTCGTCGGTCTTGGTCGAAGGTGATGTCGGCATGGCGGCTGGTGGCGACATGGAGGTCGCTAACCCTAGTGCGTTGAGGGATCAGGTTGTGCGTGCGGAGATGGGGGCTGGATTTTTCCTCTTAATTTGGATTAAAAAAAAGCGGTGGCCTAAAACCGAAGGTGGGGCTACGTTAAATAAAAATCGATGGTGGCTTCGATGGATAGGGTGGGAGGCGGGCGAACGAACAAACGACGTACGGACTGCTCCTTTATAAGTAGAGATACCAACCAATTACCAACCATCCAGGGCGTCCACGGCCCAATCCACGTTCCGATCATTCGGGTTTAGTTCACGTCACCGATTTCGATCAGTTCACGGGGCCCGCCCGCCCGGCGTCCCTGTCGTTCGAGGCTGGCCGGACGTATGGATTTTTGCCCATCCACACACACACACCACGAAGGTACTATATGGCTCCAGTGCGGTGACACAGGAGGCCGCTCGGTCGACTGATCGATCGGAACCTGCCACAAACGCCGGCCAGCACGATCCAACTGGGTGGGGACTGGGGTGGCCAGCCGCGCTAGACGGATCAGTTTGCGCGCGCATAGCTGATAGTGCCGTCTCTACAGGCCATCCGTTTACGTATACCCGTCTTAAAATAAATAAAATCCTGTTTACGTACGTTCTTTACGTTGTCGTCTGTGGTGTTGGATCGATCTCGTCCGCACATCCATACTACAGGTGACAGAAATGTAGGAGTAACTAGTAAAAGAGGCTGTTTATGTCGACCAGGAGTTATAAATTTAGGCCGGAAATGGGTCCCGCGGACTTGTTTTTTGAAATGAGTCGGCGCGTTGGATCAGTATTTTTGTCTGCACAACCCAAATGAACGTGGGCGGACGAAATAGATCGCCGTGTTGAAGTTGATCTTATTCTGCTCCTTGTCTGCTGGGTCCCCACATAACGGCCGGTCAACTACCTCCCGCGTCTTTATTAATGAGGACCACATACCACGGGCCCATGTGTCAGCGACGGGCGAGCATCCTTTTTTAATCCGAGCGTG